TAAACATTGATTATACGTTTTGTTTATTGTATACCAAGGATGCCCCCTTATTATTTCAATACATAATTTAAAACACATTTGACTTAATCTCAGCCTGATTAAGAGGATTTATAAGACTTAATTTTATTTTGTATGGTAACAAGGCTTGTGTTAAAAATGGAGTAAGATTTTATAGCAAGAAGGAAAATATTTTAACATTCCTATGGAAAAAGAATTATCGTTTGTCAACTCGCCCGACTATAGGAATATTCCAGTAAGTTGGGATCTGTTACAGAAAAATCGAAATGATAAAGGAACAATAAAGAAACGAAATCTTCCTTTGGCTACACTTGTTAGAATTAGAGGTCCACCGAAAGTGGTAGATGGATTCAGCAATTTTAATTACAACAGGACGGACCAATACCCACATGTCTGTACACACATAGACATAGGATCTCTTGAACCAAAGGACTCGTTGGAAAAGAAAAAGGATTCAAAACCTAGGCCAATTATTCTTCAAAGTCGACAGGTTTTCGGAAGGTATTTTCCAAAAGCCACATTTCCAGATGACGAAAAAGGTCTTTCTTTCTGGAAGACTCAATCGGGATTAGATTATTCAACAAACAATAAAAGTGCCATGAAGCCGTTTGAGTTGAGACCAATCAAGAGTATAAGTGGTCCCAGAACTACTCAGTCACTTCGGAGCGTAAGTACCAGCAAAAGTGTCAATTCATCAGAAATTAGACTGAGGTGTGTTAGTGATAGAAAAATTAAACAGGAGCGACAAGTTACATTTCCAGTGAAAAGAAACAATTTAGTTGGATCTCTTTCAGGGACACCTAAACGAATCCACTCTCGACACTCGGCTATTATTGGTGACAATGATGGTGTTAAGAATGACATCTTTTCAAACAAACTTGTTACTGTCTCTGCTTGCTGACAACTAAGATAGACATCTTTTTTTTTAAATAGAATTATTCACTAGATTAATCATTCCGTACGACGGATTTTAAAGTGCTTTCATACTTTAGTGCTCTAAACAATAAACAGGATTATAGGCACTCTAAGACACGGCGTTTAACGTAATAGTTTAGAATATATTTTTTTCTCTTCTATGTCTTTTAATTTCAAATGCAGAACTTATATAATAACTATGTAATTACTTGAATGTTAATCGTGTAAATAAAGTTTCAATATATATGCCATATCTAAATTTTAAACACAATTCTTTTCACGTATGTGTCAGAATGCATAAATAAGTTTGGATCTGTGAAAGAAAATCGAAATGATAAAGGAAAAACAAAGAAAGGAAATCTTCCTTTGGCTACACTTGTTAGAATTAGAGGCCCACCGAAAGTGGTAGGCGGATTCAGCAATTTTAATTACAACAGGACGGACCAATACCCACATGTGTTTACACATAAGTAGTAATAGATTTTGAAATATGATTAAGACTGAATGCCGATGTCTTTTTTGTCGTTGCGTTGCTGTCTCATTGATATATATATATACCCATCCCCACAGGTCCTTTTATACACATAGATTTTGACACATCTATATTATGTTCATCATCACTGATTCATCATTGTGGTCAATTCTATTCTCACATCAGACTACACATACCATAGTGAACAAAAAATCGTCGGTGGCAACATTCATTGTTTTGGAATTCGAAGTTGTACTAATATCTTCATTTTTCAAATCCCAATTTTCATACGAATTTTGTCTACTTTCGGCAGTATTTACAAGTTTAGCAGCACACAATATTCTATCTGTTTAGAGTTCTATAATATATTCTATAGTCTAATATTCTAATTTTTTATATCAAAATTAGAACACAAAGGTCATAAAGTAAGGCTCATCAGTCAGGTTGGAAACTTTTTTGGTTTCTACTGGAGTTTTTGTTATCTAAATCGATGATGTTGTTTTACTAAAAGTACATATATACATAGATTTTGTTATTCTTAATTTAAATTTTAGTATTCCTCCTTTCTGTCTGAAAAAAAAATCATATCCAAGGCCAGAAAGTCGTTTTACCTGGCTTGAACGTGTAAATCCTTTATAAACTACTAAACTCTTCGATTTTCAATTCTTGAAAAATAAAAATTAAAACAAAAGGGAGCTAAGGGTAGAACCAAGTGTTGAAGATTTGGAAAATATGATCAGCTATAAAGCTAGGTACATAATTTTCAGTTCATGTTAAAATGGCTCAAATATATAATGCATTAGAATTTTAACGTTTGCAACAGTCTCAAGCGTAGACAACTGACCAACGGGTACTTACAGTATCAATCCAGTTTTTGTATTTATCCCCTTAATTATTTCCATGGAAAAGGGATTATTATGACAATCTAGGAACAGCATGTTGTGAAAATTATATGGCTTCATAATAGATGTTCATGTGAAATTGCCGCTATTACACTGGTTGGTGACCTGATTGTCACATAATTCCAGTTGATGGGAGATACACACAGTTGTGTTATGTTACAGTATTTAAAGCCACACGTGGTAAAAAAAACATAGCTTACCCAGTGGTCAATTCAAGATCGTGGTTAACTTTACAATGGAAAACACTAAGCATAAAACTATGGGACATATCGTTTGAGAGGAATAACGTTCACAAGGTCAACTGCACATATGGTTTCACATGAGTAGCGTTCACAATGTGCCATTATACTACAAAGAACAAGCCACAAATGTACGAAGTCCAATAGCCCTTAAAATTTTCAAATTTAAAAAATGTAAAATATATGGACAGCTACACTTAAATACAATGTAAGTAATCATGAAAGTTTTCGGGTATTTAGTCTCCGAGGCTGAGTGTTTACAAGGTGAATATATGCTAGTTAAGACAAAAAATGTAAAAAGTCAATAATTTATGCCAATTTTTTTTTCAAATTTTGATGGTGGTATAGTATGCGCAATTTCACATATGGTCTCAGATCAGGAGCATTCACTAGGTGTCTTCAACAATCCAAAAATGTGCGAAGTCTCGTAATCGCCGCCGCAAAAAAAAAAAAAAAATGAAACTGTGACGCGCGGACAGCTACACTTTAAGAGAAATTATGCAAGTAATGAAAGGTTTCGGACATATTTAATCTCAGAGGCAACGCGTTCACATGGTGTCAAAATGCACAAAGGATAATAAAATGATAAAAAAAAAGTGAGCAAATCATAAAGGCGATCAGTATGCATGGTCAACAACACATAAAGCCAAACAACCCTACGACCAGAAAGTATGAAATCTTACAACATATGCTTTCCAAGGATTACCGCCACACATATAAAACAACTAAGTTTTAGCGAGTCAGTTTCATTAATTTATTGATGGAACTTTTTAAAATTTTTTGTAGAAAAATGATTTTGATCCTGACTCCCTCTAAAAATAAGGAGATGTGGTATGAATGTCAATGAGACAACTATCCAAAGTTCAAATGAAGTGGATGTAAGCAATTATAGGCATCCGTACAGCCTTCAACAATGCGAAATTCCAAAACCTTATAGTAGGCTATAAAAGGCCCCGACAAAAAAATGTGAAACAATTCAATTGAGAAAACTAGCGGCTTAATTCATCACAAAACAAATTACGAAAAACATATATGACAGACAGGAACCAACAACAACCACTGAACTACAGGCTCCTGGCTTGGGACAGGCACATAAAGAATGCAGTTAAACATGTTTGTGAGCGCTCAACCCTAACCCGAGACTGTGGTGTTACAACACAAAATAAGAACAAACTGTAAAAATCAGTTGCAAAAGGCTTCACTCTAAAGATCGGTATGAGGTACATAAATAACTGATATTAAAACAATAGACTCAAATCACCGAATTAAGAGTGCTCGCAGTTAATGAAAGCTTGTTAAAAACCTATTACAACTAATAAATAAATCATGTTTCCTCCCTGTAACCTTTTAAATATACTAGTAATTGACTCGCCGTTTTCTTGTTTTTTTTTAAATTATCATTATTTGAATAAATGTGAATAAGACTTTGTTATTTCAAATGAAAAAAAACATTTGAACACATCACTTATTTGCATAAATCTACTTTATTGTCGTTGAATTTTTGACAATTTGGCCCTTTTTTCTCAGTTAAATATGAAGATACAACGGGAGAAGGCAATCAAAAATCATCAGTCGAAAAGGACAAACATTTATTGAGCCAAAAGAAAAACGAAAAAAAAACCAAATAATTATTGTGGATAATTGTTTTTTTTCTTTCGTTTTTCTTTTGCATGGCTCTAAACATAACAAAAACGAAACAAAAACAAAAACAAAAAATTAAAAGTACATTGATGCTTAGAATACTTATTTTCTCCTAGTTTTATAGGTTTCAAAGCAGAACAGTATATATATACTATTTTTGAATGCTATGGTTTTCCTTTCTTTGGCAACTTCAGATAGTATTTTGTTTGGACTTTCAATAAGTCGCTTACCAAAAAGAGAAGGCATTTTGGTTAACAAGTTATTCTTTCTTTCTTTTTTAGATAAAAATATGATATTTCCGACTGTGACCCGATGATAATAAAAGAAACATTTCATTTTTCAATTTCATAATTTTGAGAGAGATATTCATGTTAAAATGCATATTCTATAGTCTTTATAGCCTTATCTGAGACAAGGATTTGTATTGTATGACAAGGATTTGTATTGTATGACAAGGATTTGTATTGTATACAAATCCTTGTCTAAGACTGAGACTACTATAACATATAGTAGTCTCAGTCTAAGCTTGACTATAATTTATGGTTGGTCCTTGGTCTAATATTAGTGTAGGAGTTAGTCAGTGGTCCTCTCTCAATTTCAATTTATAATTTCAGTATTTGTAATGTTTCTGGTCAAAAGTGGAGGTTGGGAAAAATCAATTGTACCTTTGTTCCCCCGAGTTTTGTATAGTCGCTTCGTCTATTTCCCCACGGATAACCGATACTTTCCGGAAATATACCCAACACCCTCCGAAGTAAACTCTCCTATTTATTTTATCGCAAATAAAAGTTATCACTGAATTGTTTATAGTTACTGTAAAATCAGATGATTAGATCAAGAACGAGATTGACATTGATGAAATGGAAATTTTTGAGAAACAAAAAAAATCTGCTGTTTCAGGAGTAGATTTTAGTAGAAAAGGCTCAATAGATGTTAAAATTATCGATTTATCGTTGTTCATTAATAATCAGAGAGATTATTTCACGACAAGTTCTTGTTCGGGAAGAATAATTCTGTTTGATGACAGTGTAAGACCATAAACAGCTAAAAGTAGTTGGATAACTATAACTATTTTTTTGTATATAGTCATTAACTACCCACATGCCTTCTTAAGTGGTCATACTCAACAGTCTGGTGAAATCCGGTAGAATTTGGTGTCCTAAACTTTGTTTTATTTTTGTTAGTAACAATTAATACTGTTTATAAATATAATGCATTATTGACTAGTCTATTGTGATCTCCCGTACTTGTGCCCGTTGATGTTGTACAGTAAGTGTTAATTACCATAATTTGAGGTTTATGTGGACCCTTTGGTTAAAATGGATGCATTTTTACATCAAAATTTACTCTGATTACAGACAAACCTATGTACCTGGAAAAATTTTAAGGCATAGCATGCTCTAGATAAATAAAATTCAAATGCATTTTATATTTTGGAAAATTAAAACTTAACTGGATTTTGCAGTGCACTTTTTTCATTCCTCCAGAAGGTGCCAAAATAAACAAAGTTTGGAGAGAGGTTTTAGAACTTCCCCACAGGTAATTATTGAAGTGAACTGTACATGTATCATGTGTATTGATTGACATGGACAATAGATACCTGACAATAATTGGTGATTTAAACTGTGTACCTGAGTGCCGAGTGGACCATATCAAGTGAAACTCAACTGTTTGTTAATTTTATCATCTTCTGCAGGGACGAAAAAAGTGCACAGTGAAATCCAGTTAACATGGTTAAGTTTTAATTTTTCTAAAACATAAAATGCATTTGAATTTTATTTATCTAGGGCATGCTATACCTTAAAATGTTTCCAGATGGACAGGTGAGTCTGTACTCAGAGTAAATTTTGAGGCGAAAACACAGACATTTTAGCCAAAGGGTCCACATGAACGTTAAATATTGTTATAATGCATTGTTTGGATCAATCGTACTTGGCGAGTTTGACTATCCATTTGGTTTCTCCAGTCTCTCTTTGTGTCAACAGTGTCAACAGCTGTATTTAATTATGCAATATATTGTTTTAATTAAAGTCATGAACATGAAAAAATACAGTAAAAAATCATGCTGAAAGTGAAATTTTGAAAAGAAATTAAACATGGTCAAACATTTTTGTAAATAACATGAATATGAATTATTGTTCATTGAGAAATAAAATAAGGAAAATGAGGCTGATTTTGCATTGTTTAATTGAGATACATACTGATTCATTTGATGACAAAAAATAGACCCAATTTAAATTTCTTTCCAAATTCATAACTATTAAATATCTTCTGGAAGTGTTACTGCATCTGGCAAATTTGAGATAATGACACTATTTCTTTTTTATCAAAACTAATTGCTGATATAGTGGTCTCTTACATGTACTTTGTGTTTTATATATTTTTAGGTTGGTGAAAGTGATAAAGTAACTAACAAACAGGGATGTCGGTGGTTATTTACAAGTCATGATTTAGTAGACAAATCACAAATGGTTAGTACAAACATAAGCATGATAAGGTTGTCAGTGGTCAAATGGTGGTAATTACATGGAATCATTCTTTGATTGACAAATAAACTGGTAAGTATTGACATTGGTAAGTATTATCAAACAAGATCTTTTTGGTAGGTAAATGTCAATAGTTTAGGAAAATGGTTCAGTCATTATCATAGAGATTGAAATTCTGCTTATTACCAAATTTTAAAGACACTTGTGAAATTTTCATGTCCCTTTTTTTATAATATTTTATTAATAAAATGCAAAACTGTTAGAAAATGAATAAAAAAGTGCTACCTCAGGAACACAAATCACTTTCTGAGATACACAATTATGCACATTATTATTGGATATATTCCTGACAGGAGACTTCATTGAAACAAGTCTTGTTTTTTTTTTGAGATTTGCATATGTAATAAAGTATAGTGGAGTTATTCCTGACAGGGGTTGAGGTCTGCATTTGTATAGCAGATATATATCTGATAGGAGACTTGATATTTGGTACATGTATGATTGCCAATAAGAAAACTATCCACCAGAGTTCAGATACAATGTAACATGGACATAAACGCCGAAAGGTCACTGTACTGCCTTGAACAATGAGCAAAACCCATACAGTATAGTCAGCTGTATGAGGCCAGACACATGACAAAACATGAAACAAGTCAGACCAGAAAACTAACTGCACATATATTTATTGGACATATTCCTGGTATGAGACAATCTCTAAAAAACAAGGCTATTGGTTATTTATGTCCTTAGTTGTTGTCTTGTTTATGTATATATATAAATAAGAAGATGTGGTATAATTGCCAAAGAGACAACTCTCCACGAGAGACCTAATGACACAAAAGTTAACAAGTTAAACAATTATAGGTCATCGTACGGCCTACATCTCCTTTTATTCATAGTTTGCATGAAATCTCCATATGTATATTGGATATATTCCTTAATGGTGATTAACTGGCACTAAGGCATATTTATTTGTCAAATAATTAGGTTTTCACACTAATATATCCCTGACAGATTGGAAGTCTTACATGTATGTTCAGTGCAAAGAAATCTAGTTTATACAGATATCATTGATTAAAACTGTTTAACAACAACAACCCTGAGGCCCTCATCATAGAAAATGCATAAACAAAAATGCAAACATGTACATTGTACATGGCACACATTAGTATAAAAGTCGAGTATAGTGATAATTTTCAATACAACTGCATAAAATGTTATGAAAAAATAAACATGATGAAATAATTAATATTCAATATTTTTTTCAATTGGTTGATTTCAATAAATGATCTGTTATTTTGTAATGGAAAGAATTAACATTTGTCATATTTCGTAATGATATAGGTAAATTGTTCCACAAGAATTATCCAGAATACATAAAAGATTTCTTGAACAATTTGATTCTTGGTTTAGGGAGTATGAGGTTTCCTTGAACAGCATTTCTCAAAGGGTATGGATTTCTGTTTGAAACATAATGAAACTTGCTAGTAAGATATGATGGGGCATCATTTTTGATGCACTTAAATGTCATCACCAACTTGTGATATTTTATTCTCTGTTCAACATCCAGTTTAAGTGTTTGAATAAGGGCTCAGAAGGAGGGAAAGTGTCTGTTTTCAGTGTTATTCTAGCAGCTCTCTTTTGTAATTTTGATATCTTATTTAGCATGATTCATATTTTTCAGATGCCTGTTCTAGAAGACATCACTGGGGATTGTGTATTTAAGTTTGAACCATTTGTACTACATGTACAGTGTAGAACAATTGATTTTGCTCAGTTATTGGTAAATATATTTTGATTGAATTATATTTGTAGAACTGGGATGCCACTTTTTGGAGGGATTTAATGGTTAAAGGAAACCACAAATTTAAATACTCATAGAGTAAAAAGTTTTAGTCATTAACTTTGATAAGAATGAATGATGAAACCCTATGATTAAAATTGCTAATTTTTCACCAACCACAAAAATTGACACCAGCAAGAGAAATAGCAATAGTTATTGCAAAATAAAACAATTCAAGCTGAAAAGTCCACTTTTAGCTTTTTGATTTGAATAATCTTAAAATGTAATTAATTCCATCATTATCAACATGATCAAACTTCAAATGAACAAGACTTTTCTAGAAATCCATAATGCTCTATTCAAAGTGAATACATTTTGGGAAAAACAGGAAAGCTGTTAGATATCCCTCTTTTTAACATTGCATTACATATTATGTGTAATAAGTCTGCTATTTAGACTGTTATTATAAAGGAAAAATGAGTGGAAGCACATGTGTAACCTATTGTCAGCCAGAAAAAGATCATTTTTCAGATGTACAGGTAAACAAGTAGTGTAAAAATCATTTGACCGTGTTTTGAACATCCAATGATGGATCCCTCCATAAGAGAACTAAGCTGTTTATCATGATTTGTACTCTGTCACTCAATATAAAGCATAGATACCAATATATACCATGAATATATTTTCTCTCTATAAGTCAATATAATTAGCCTTTGAGATTTTTTCTAAACAATCTATATAAACCTAAAAGAAGATGACAGTACACATAATGGATAATGCTGATCAATCGATTTATTTATACTGATTTTAATTAGAATACTTGTGTTTCTATATTTCAGCTTCAATGTGCAGTCCAGTCTGGCTTTAGGAATTCAGGAATCAGTCTTGGAAAGAAAGGAAAAATTATTGTTGTAAGTATTGTTTGTTTATATTTATACATTGTCCTTTATATAGAAATTTTACTAGTGGAACAATTCAGTTTTTGTCTCAGCTAAGAGTCATCTTGATATGTTGCAAACTATGGGACATAAGTTAGGTAGTGTTGTGGTGACAACAATTTTAATTGCATAACACTCAATATTTTAGAAGACGAAGACCAGTCCATATTTTGCATAAATGGCTGATGGTATAAAGTTTTTGTATGGTTTATGTCAGTTGTTTTATACCTAATTTTTCCTGGTTTATTGTCTTAAGAAAGTCAATGTTATTTTTTTGCAATTGTTACCTTAACTATTATTGGTCTATAGAAATCATTGTAAGTTGTACATGTCTGTCCAATCAGCGTTTCCTGACCTTGATCTGTATTCATGGTTGGATAATCAATGTAAAGTTTTTGTGCTGAGGTCAGTTTACCTAACTATATTGTTTACTGAATTATTATAGGGTCTGAAAAAAGTTCGCCTATCCTTAACTTCATTTTATTGAGTCAATGATCAACCTTTAGTTTGTAAACTTACGTAAGTTTTTCAGTTTACTATGAGTAACTGGTCAACTATATCTGGTCTTAATTATGTTTCCATTCATATTGCAGGGTTTGTGCCAGTCTTTGAAATCTTTGAAAGTATTTGAAAATGAAAGTTGAAATTCAAAGCATTGAAAGTTTTGGAGTTAAACCATTTTTTGAGACATACATGGTAGACAAGTCACTTTTTACAATCATTAAAATGTTATAAAATTGATAAATTGCTACAATAATGTAAAATATATTCCCTTTTTGGAATTTCTAATTGAGAGTTTTGATATTGTCAATATTGTGTGTGAAAATTGTTGAGAAATAATGTAATTCTGCTTTCTCTTTTCTTTAAACCAAATAAGATAACTTTTAAATCTCAGTCATAAAAGGGGCCTCGATGGCCGAGTGGTCTAAGTAATCGAACTACTGTATCACCAGCCTGTCAACACTGATGTTGTGAGTTTCGAAATCCTGCACATGGCAGGTGCGCTCGACTCCAATCTTAATTGACTACACATTATGACTTGGATGGATAGTTGTCTCATTGGCACTCATACCACATCTTCTTATTTATAGGATTGTCAGTTTTCCTACCAAAGGTCATTGGTTCTCTCTGGGCACTCATGCTTCCTCCACCAATAAAAACTAACCGCCACGAAATAGTACAATAGTGCTGAAAGTGGCGTTAAAAATCAATCAATCAATTAATAATCTGTCATAAAAAATTCTCAAGTATATAGCAATTGCAGAATGGAAGATGTGTTGATTTTTAATGAATATGTTTTTTTTTCTAGCTATTATAAGAACATAATAATTTGGTATTGACAATTTATCGTCCATGTAAAGTTATAATTTTTTGCATGAAGACGAGTAAAAAATTGGTCTGTATAAAACAGATTTAGAAGGGGATTTAGTTTAAGTTGAAGTGTTTTTGGTAGAATGATTTACAAACAGTAAAGAATAAAAGTATCAAGATTACAAGAAAATATTAGTCACCAGTTACAAAAAGAAGACATAACTGCAACAAAGTATTGTAAAATGTAAAAGACATGCGAGGGAAGTTTAAAATTTTGGTCATTGAATTTTATGATAAAAATTGATATTGAATTCTCTAAGACAAAACTGACTATGTTGACCAAACAAAGAAGCTTGCAAATTGGAATAGAAAATAGTAAAAAATCAAACTCAGAAATTTCTTTAAGAAAGCCTTTGAAATGAAAAATGATACACTGTGATGAATTTTCACAAAAATAAAAACAAACATAACTTTTGTATTGTCTTCAATTACAGGAGAGACACAGGGTTCTGCATAACAGTTTATCAAATGTTAGTTTCTTTATTATATATTTTAAATATTTATTCCATTAAAAAAAATGAATAAAAGGCACTAAATAATTACAGGGAGTAAGAAGTACACATTCTATGGAGGTACCATTGTCACACTCCGGTCAATTACTGGTCTCATCAGAGGTATGTACAATACAGATGTTATAAAAATAAGGTTAACTTGCTCTTGAATGTCATTGCTGAAAATGAAGCTCCATAGTGCCATTTTAAATGAACTTAATACCAGAGAGAAAAATATGGAATATAATTTGAGAAAAAAAATTTGCAACGTGATGTAAAAAAATTACTTGTTAATTTTTCCATATGACATTAACCATAGTTGAAATTAATGACAGATTTTATAATTAATATCATATATTATCTGCATTTGATTTTTTGGGAGTAGCTTTTTCATGGTACATGTAATATGTATGTATTTTATATTCTGTGTAGTATTATAGATATTTGCAAATAAATTATAACAAGAGACATTACAAAAATATCACAGAGAATTTATTCCTAGCTTTATATTGCAACTAGTAATGACAGATTTTACATTAACTGAAAACATTTAAAAATAGATTTCTCATGGACACTGTATTTGTCAATTAGTCAAAATGAAAATTATTCATTATATATGCCTTTTTTCCTCTGCTTGATGATGTTTGCATACTTAAGTGGTTCCTGCTGCAAGGACAATGCATTTCTTGACCTTCCTTTGATTAGTTGACATTGAATAAACCAGTAAAACAAAATTTTCGCTGCAAGGACATACATTTAGATACACTTTTAAAGTTTATAATACAAGAACAAGGGTGTCTGTCATTTTTTTCATTTTTACCCCCTTTTTTTATATGACAAAAATAAATCATAAAATATTATTCTATTTTTCAGTATGTTGAATATTTAATCAGTCTTGCAAATAAAAAAATGGAGGAGAACTTCAGAAGAATTGATAGGTAGGTATTTTTCCAGGAAATACTGTATTGATAAAGACGTGAATGTTTATGCCTGGCCAAAAGTATAAACAATCTAAGTCTATATTTTTATGTAAATTTTTGTAGGTACCTTAATGTGCAATAATAGTGTTTTTCAAACCAGCAAAAAATGGTATTTGGGAAATAAAATAAATTAACAAAAGACAGGATAAAAGATCTACTGATTGAAGCCAATACAGTGTTAGTGTTGCCAATGTGTATAGTTTAATTTTTATTTTACAGGTTTTACGAAAATTTGAAGTCAGCTATATTACAAAAATCTGATGACAGTCATATAGTAAAACAATGTAAGGAAAAAGTCAAAATGATGTTACGTGATAAATATGCAGGAAAAGTGGAAACTGTATCATCAGAGAAACAAAAAGAAGCAGATCAGGAAAATATTAAATTCATCAATATGAACAATAAGGATGCACTGAAATCTTGTGGTCAAATTACAAAACAAAGTGATTTTTTAGATAATGATATGCTGGGATTGTCTTTATTTGATGATGAAGTAACATAAATAAAATATTGAAAAACACAGCTTTTCAGATATTTAAAACTTTCAAATATCATAATGACAGACTGCATTAGGTATTTGTTTATTGGACTGTCTTGATGTTGAAAATACTTCGTGAAACAAAATATATCTTACCATATGTCTGCATCAGAAATGAATTCACCTGCTCTTTATTACATTTTTACATGCCTCAAGGGCCATTCATGTCCAGTGTACAAAGTAGTACCGATATTGTCGACATCGCAAAGTAGGCAATGTCGACACAATATTGTACAACGTTGTCGATATCGTTTCCTACTCTAATCTACATCGTTGACATTGACGATATCGCGAAGTAGACAATGTCGACACGATATTGTACAACGTTGTCAATATCGTTTCATACTCTTGTCTACATCGTTGACTTTGACGATATCGCTAACACATTACTCGTGTTTACATTGTTAATTTTGAATACAACGATGTCGACATTGTGTTGTACTACTTTGTCGATATCCTTTCATCATCTTGTCTCTGCATCGTTGGCATTGCCGACATCGCGAAAAAGACAATGTCAAAACACTGTATTACAACGTAATCTATAATGTCAACATCGCAAAGATGTTGAAGAGGAGGAGGAGGAGGACGAGAAGGAGGAGGAGGAGGAGGATAGAGATTTGCAAACATTAAAAAACTGTCAAAATAAGTTCTACTATTAAGAACATCGACGCAGGCGTAATATAAAAACATTATTTTAAATTGAAATTGATAAACTAAACACTTCTTTATTTAAACGATGTAGACAGGAAAGGGGGATGATGTAGACGATGTCGTCACAATGTTGTTAACATCGCGATATCGGCGATGTCAACGATGTAGACGATGTTGTCACAATGTTGTCAACATCACGATGTCGGCGATGTCAATGATGTAGACAGGAAAGGGGGACGATGTAGACAATGTCGTCATGCTGTTGTCAACATCACGATGTCGGCGATGTCAACGATGTAGACAGGAAAGGGGGACGATGTAGACGATGTCGTCACGATGTTGTCAACAATGTCAACGATGTAGACAGGAAAGGGGACAATGTAGACAGCAAGAAGAACGATGTTGGCGATATAAACGATGTAGACAACAAGTAAGACAACAAGTAAGACAACAAGTAAGACAATGTTGCGAGCAGGTATAAATCATGAACGAAGTTGACAATATCGTCGATATCGTCAATACATCGTGCACTGGACATACATGGCAGTGTAAACTATTGCCATCAGTTAGCGTTCTTCAACTGTGTTCTTTGTTTGTGAACTTTTCATTTCTGTTATCTTCAATTAAACTTTGACTAAAAAAAAATTGAAATTGGCCAGAATAATTTTTTGGAGTGTCCTTTATAAAAGGTATTTGTGCAATTAACGTTCATTACCTTAAATTTGGGTCTATTTTCAATTTTTTCCCCTTTGAAATTACAAGCCTGAGGGAAATATGACTTTTCGAGGGTGAACAAATCTTCATACCTCCATAAGGCAAGGGAGATGAATGTTTTATTCCACTGTATTTTTTACTTCCTGAACATTAGATATCAGTTTACATACAATTTTTTATATCTGCTTGCTTTTATAACTAAACAAGACATAAACATTGATAAACAATACAGTATTACTGATCAAAAGTTAATTCTTTATCCTATTTTGTTTTTATACGACTGCAAAAATTTTGCGGTCATATATTGGTATCACGTCGTCGTCGTCGTCTGAAGGCACATTGGTTTCCGGACAATAACTTTTGTTTAAGTACATGGATTTCTATGAAATTTTACCATAAGGTTTATGATCACAAAAGGAAGGTTGAGATTGATTTTGGGGGTAATGGTCCTAACAGTTCAGGAATTAGGGACCAAAATGGGGCCCAAATAAGCATTTTTCTAGTTTCCAGACAATAACTTGTGAAATGGTGTATGGATCTCTCTAAAATTATACCACAAGTTACCATATCACAAAGGGATGGTAAGATCTTGCTTTGGGGGGTTATGGCTTAAACTGTTTAGGAATTAGGGGCAAAAAAAGGGGAAAACAAGGGTTTCCGGGTTAATGGACAATTACTTAAGTATAAAACATAATTTTAAAGCAGTGTAAGGGAGGTAATTCAAACATATATTGTCAAATTACCTCCCTTACACTGCTTGTAAATTATTTATAAAGAAATGTATTGTCTTAGGTGATTAGCTGTCAATTTATTTTAAGAAGTTACTATTTTAAAAATGTTAAATAAAGGTTATTTAATTATAGCCATGATTATGTATGTGAAGGAATTTTATTTTTAGATATTACTATTTAATGTTGCTGATGGAGGCTTTTAATTTTAGGCATGATTATGATGTCATTTTCTATTTTAAAAATTATTTAATTTTAGCCATGATTATGTATGTGAAGGAATTTTATTTTTAGATATTACTATTTAATGTTGCTGATGAAAGTGTTTTAATTTTAGGCATGATTATGATGTCATTTTCTATTTTAATACTTTTATGATGTATTTAAATGGGGTTTTATGGTTGCAAAGTCCTAGCTGTCAATTTATTTTTAGAAGTTACTTTTAAATGCTGATGAAGGAATTTTATTTTTAGATATTACTATTAAAAGTTGCTGATGAAGGTTTTTTAATTTTAGCCATGACTTTGATGTCATTTTCTATTTTAATACTTTTATGAAGTATTTAATTGGCTTTTATGGTTAAAAAAAAGCATTTTTCTAGTTTCCAGACAGTAACTTGTAATTAAGTGTATGGAATTCTCTAAAATTGTACTACAAGGTTCCATACTACAAAGGAAAGACTGCAATTGAGTTTGATGGTTAATGCTAAAAGGGGGATTCAAAAAGTTTGGGGGGAAGGGGGGTTTCCAATTTTTTTTTAAAAGGGTTCATATTTTTTTTCAAAATTTTCAAAATTTCAAATTTTTGAAAAGTTTCAAGAAGAAATCTTCAATTACACAGTATTGCGCATTAGATTTGTAAGATCTTTGACCACATTTATTTTGTGTCAGAAACCTATATTATTATATGTCAAAAATTTGATCACAATCCAAATTCAGATAGTATCAAGCTTGAATATTGTGTCCAAATTTGCCCCAACTGTTCAGGGTTCGACCACTGCGGTCGTATCAGGCTGCGCTGAGCGAAGCATTTTATAATGTCTGAAATAAGTTTGAACACAATTATGACTATACTATCTTATACTATCTTTATTTTAAAAAAAGTTCAAAACTTTTTGTACATTATCTGCGCAGTACATGGAATAGTCTCAACCAATCATATATTGATTTTTTATCAATATTTACATACAGTGAAATAAATACATTTATTATATACTTAGTAGTAAATACAAGTAAATTGTATGTGTAATACAATCGTGTCAATTGTTCTGTATCAGCCATTAGTGATGAAATCGATATCACAAATGGCTGATATAGAACAATTGACACTGATTGTATTACACATACAATTTACTTGTATTACTTCATGTCACATGAGAAACATTTATTTTAGGTTTAAAATGAAGTGTATTTGATATGGCTTTTTCAATGTCAGGCACTGTATCAACCCTGAATCAATATAATCCCTCGTTCTTTTAATTATATTGGGGTATCCAGTTGATACAGGTATGATATTGAAAATGCCATATGCTATTTTCTTTTATTATTTGTAAACATTATGCTCACCTTGGGTTTTAGGCAACACTCTGCAAGAGTGGGCCATTCAAGTTTGTATAAAATGGTTTAATACACTACTTGTGTTATGGTAGTTGCTGCATACATATAGGGCAGCCGGGCCTCTGTACCTTTTAAAAATGGATGTAAGGTTACATTCAGATATTTTGCTGATGTTCGTTACAGGTTCCTAAATTAGGTTACATATGCAGGATGTAATTTTGTTGAATGGCTTCTTTTTCTGAATGATGGCAAGAACCATGCATTTGGCTGAATGAAGGCCACAAGCCAATCAGCTTCCAATTTAGCAGCAGCATCAATATCTGCTTGTAGTTTGATGCAATGTTCTTGGCATGTTATTCTCCGTAGACAATAATATCACCAGTGGAGTCTTAATTAGATGTGAATTTGGTATTTTGGGAAGCCATGAGTAAAGATAAAATATAATATGATAGGCCCAAGGACAGTTCCTTAGGGCAGAACATACCTAATATTACTGGTACTGTGTTGGAGGTATTCCATTTATAACCACTGCTTGTTTTCTGTCTGAAAAAAGCCTTAATCTATTTTGAGTATTTTCTTGTACATGTATGCTATAGTATATAAGTTTAGAGAGTAGACAAAGGTTGCAAATTTGTATGATGAGTATAAAAAAGAAGGCGATGTAGTGTGATGGCCAATGAGAAAAATACAGTGGCTACTTTCCTTAAGTACTTACTAACAGTTATCAGGAGAAAATTGGAACCATCTGAAGTGAAAAGGGCCTTTTTTTTAACATCCAAGTACAGTTACGAGCATCTCCAAAATTCAGTTACGCTCATCCTTCAGAAATCCTAAATAACAGTTACCAATGTCATAGCATATTCACAAATTGTGGTTTTCCTTTAAAATAAAATAGGGTTTTCCCATCTTGCAATTATGTACATTAAACAAACAATTAAGTTTGGTATAAGCCGTTCTAACTGGAAACATGGAAGAAAATCTTTTTTTGTTCAGCGCATCTGCTTTCCCCAGTGAACTATCAACCAGAGAAAAAAGGATGTGATGGAAAGCAACTATATAAACCTTATATAGATCTTCAACAATGTACACAACTTATACCGTATAATTTGCTATAAAAGGCACAGGGATGACACAATGTGAATCAATTCAAATGAGTAAACAAACGGCCTGATTTATATAGATCAGTTTTAATATTTGTTGTTAATGTTGAACGTATGAGAGTTAATTGGATTAGTTTTGTCTTGAATGATCTCGATTTTCAGAAACTATGTTGGTGGTCAGAAAGGACATTGTTTGCCTATTTATCATAAATAGTCTATGATGTAACTAGTCACAATGTTCCATTATTTTGCAATTATAAAGAGTTAAGGAGATGGGTATGTAGTTTCCAGCCTTGAAACTTTCATCCTTTTTATATGCTGTGTTTCCAGTCGTTTGGAGTTTGACCAGGTTCTGACCGCTTTCTGTGTTCTTCGTTCATTTAATACATACCACAGATGTTATCAGGTCCACTGACATTGTTTAGACTTGGGTTTGTAGTAATTTTTCAACATCTGCGGATTTGTTTCTTTATCTCTCAAATTTTAGTGTATGGACTAGGAACTTTATATGGAAGATCTCATATACTTGTAAAATTCCACAGATTTAATTTCATTTTGAGCTATGAAGCTCTAAATCATGAGTTATGTATGATTTCATATACTATCATCTGCGTTCATTTTCCAGTTAAAGTTCTTATTTTTTTACAACTAATTTTTTTTTCGGCTTCCAAAAGTAATGCTTTTCGCCAATTCCATAAAAAAATATTTATATCGAATTAGAATACATACATGCATCTACATGTATTAACCCGGACAAGACATTGACTGCACTTGAGGTTTAGCTGCGCCGAAATCACAGCTCTTATGGTCTTGTGATTAACAGGAGCTGCGGCTTCGAAATTACTTGAAGTTGTGCTAAACAATATAACATTCTATTATCATTGAAAAGACCCAACAACTGAAGGCGAACTAGTCAGCATGTAAGTTCGGATAAGTGTATCTGTATTATTATGATATCTCAGTAAACAATATAAACATTGATCCTAATGTTACCCCTGTCCTCATTGTTTGATAAACTTATGATAAATGGTATAAATAAATTGCGGTTTTGAATATGTGTGTACGACGTTCCTTGGCTTTTAGCAGTCTTCTGAACTGTCTATTTACAGCGTATGGAGTAGTGATGAACTGTAGCCAACCATCTTCATCAAAAGAAAATGTATACGATTATAAGGCCATGGATATCATGCATGAACTGAATATTAGTCTATCCGTCTTTACAAACAGGATCCTGGTTATCACAAATACTGCCTCATTTTCTGGTCTAACGACACCTCATTATCTGGGATTAAATGCACTCAAAAGCAAATTTGACGGCCAGCCATTTGAAATTTTGGCATTTCCTTGCAACAATTTTGAACTTGTAAGTACATGTACAATTGATAAATATAATTTTATATGTAAATTACATTTATGATTAAATGATACACACAATATATAGTCTTTTACGTCTTAAAGCAAACAGCTTCCTATTATAAATTTATACCAGAATACAAAAATCATCGTGATATAAAATGTGTGCAAGTTTCTCTGTATTTATAGATTATCGTTGGTTATCTCAACGAGATTGATTTTCTCGCTTGAGCCGGTACGGCGAAAGTGAGAAAAGTAATCGAGTTGAGATGATCAATGATAATCTGTTTATCGCTATTTTACCTATGACGACGTTGTTAATTTTATTGACAACGGGCACGTGATCCCTTAGTTTCTAGCGATAATTTTTCATATCACTCGACTCCGCTGAGAAAGGAAATTATCAGTCAGCAAGATCAAAGGAAAATTTCGTAAAATAGCGATAAAAGAGGATATCCTTTTAAATGTGCGTGATGCATTATGGCACTGAGCAACGTCAGGTTTAATTGATGACTTTAAATCAGATGCCCAGTATAGAGAGAGTGCCACGCTTTGTGCAAGTTAAAAAAAACATTGTAAAAACTCCATGAGAGGTCCATAAGTAGCCAGCAGTTGCAAGGCCAAATTTCTGCCCTTATCCAACATCCCTCATTTTCCAAATTTCCCACTCTTTATCCGGGTCTACCCAAATTATAGATACTAAACCTATTGTATTGATTATTTTTTTGCTCTCATAATTAATATGCATGACATATTTGCCACTGGACGTTAGGTAAGAAAAAATCAATTAATTAGAATACCAAGATGTACTTCATGTTTTGACTGTATGTAAAAAAATTTAACAAATTAGATATCAATATTTTATATTTACCTTTGCAAATTAATAAAAAACAAAGTTTTTATTTGAAATACTAGCACATTGTGTAACACTTTTAAAGTTGTAGAGTGTACGTTAATGAGACAGCAACCAAACAAAACAACTATCCAAGACATCAAAAGGAACAATTCAATTATCCAAGATGTCAAAAGGTACAAAACAACTATCCAAGACATCAAAAGGTACGAAACAACTATCCAAGACATCAAAAGGTACGAAACAACTATCCAAGACATCAAAAGGAACAAAACAACTATCCAAGACATCGAAAGGTACAAAACAACTATCCAGGACATCAAAAGGAACAAAACAACTATCAAGACATCAAAAGGAACAAAACAACTATCCAAGACATCAAAAGGTACAAAACAACTATCCAAGACATCAAAAGGAACAAAACAACTATCCAAGACATCAAAAGATACAAAACAACTATCCAAGACATCAAAAAGTACAAAACAACTATCCAAGACATCCAAAGGTACAAAACAACTATCCAAGACATCAAAAGGTACAAAACAACTTTACAAGTCATCAAAAGGCACAAAACAACTATCCAAGTGCAAAAAAACTATCCAAGACATCAAAAGGTACAAAACAACTATACAAGACATCAAAAGGTATTCAAACTAGTCATGTGTGTAAACAGTAGATGAATCTTTAACAGACTCATAAAGAAAATGAATTCATTTAACAGACACAATCAAATATTTGCGACCCACACCAAAATATATTTAAAATAACAAACATCATGAATAACGACAATAATTTGAATAAACGACTGACGAATTATTTAATTATTATCTTCAGCAGGAACCTGCAGATACAGGGTTGGAAATATTAAATTCACTCCGGTATGTTCGTCCAGGAAGTGGATACATTCCAAACTTCGTAATGATGGGGAAAGTCAACGTTAACGGAGCAAACGAACATCCTCTGTTCACTTACCTGAAGGTACCAGTTGCTATGTTCATACTTAAAAAAATACTTTTTATTTTCTATTGTTTTCACTGATATTATAAAGATTTTCACAATATTCTGCAATAGAAAATGAAATAAAGGATTATAAGTGGGGGAAACCAGACGCATGTGTAGTATATATGTCTCTGGGAAAACTATCCTGAGACAATAAGTGCCTGTGTATGCTGACCACTATAGCTATCATGGGTGTGTTGTCGTTGGTTTGCAAATTTCTTTTATTTAAACACATGACAGAAACTACATCCCGGTCTATGAACTTACAGTTTTGTTAATTTCACGAAATTCCCACTGTTTTCACTCAATTTTGACTGTTTTTTCGTGATTGGTGAGATTATAGATGAATTCGGAAATATAGTGAATATCTAAATGTAGCAAATGTTTTACTCTTCGATTTCCATAATCTGTTTACATAGATATAAGAAGATGTGGTATGAGTACCAATGAGGCAACCTCGGTTTAAACAGGAAAAGGGAATATACTGTATGTAAATAGCAAGGAGAAAAAAAATCATAAAAGAAGATTGATATATAAATGTATTTTGCTTTTTTTTCGTTTGTTGTAGAAGAATTGCCCTCCTGTTACAGATAGGTTTGAAGACAATCTGTTTTACTCACCTTTGAAAAACGGAGATATTCGATGGAATTTTGAAATGTTTATCATTGACAAAAATGGGAAGGCCGTTTTACGATACAGCTCAGACATTCAGCCACTGACTTTAGTTGACACTATACAAAAATATGTTAATACATAAATCAAGGAGGACAAAAATGATTGTTTCGTATATACGATAACTTTGTTTACCACAATGATAAGTTAACCATTTTAAATGTGACATTGTATATCCAATCCAAAAAAGGTAGTATGAATATATACATATAGATATTGAGCATAAATATTGGCGATGTCTTTCTTTATGAAATATATTCTGATTTTCTATTTCAATTTTTCAATTATTTGAATGCTAAAGTTATGGATATCGAATCAAGAGATTTATTTTTTTGGCAAACAAACAAATATTCATAATTGAGACCTGTATATTTCTTATAACCTTTTTTGAATTCTTTTAAAACTCAACTACATGGAAAACACGTATATTCCATCTATACTCTACGTTGAAAAATTATAAAATAGAAGTAATCATGCATATGAATTTTCGAATGTAGAAATTATTTAAAGTAATGCATACAATGTACAAATGTGTCGTTAATCAAACCGATGAAAGAACTCAAAATGATTACAATGTCCTTGCACTAAATCCGTTGGATGTGTACTGACTGATTTCTTTTTATTGAAATATATACTTGTTCATTCCAAAACTGCCCTGTTTCCAATTCCCTCAGTTGCCCAGGATGCAGACTAAGGATCCCCGTTTATAAAGCCAACATGTTCGGGAAACAAAAAGCTAAAAAAAAGTCCACTATGCTCTACAAAAACGAAATAAATTCAGTTTAGTATTTACTACATGAAAAATCAACATCAGAATATAATTAATAACATAACCAATTATAAAAAAATAAATAAAAGAACAACTTTCCAGACGGAAATACAGTTCGGTAAATTACATTACTAAATAATAACATATTCGAGTGCACCGAGTACTAGGACTACCTAACACATATTTATAAGTACATAAAATGCAGACCAGATAGCATCGGAAGTGTTCTCTCGTTAAGGTTAGTATTGAAATATATCATTAATCATTATGGCATGGTATTGGTTGCAAAAATTTGATATTTTTCATTTAAATGCAATATTTCTTATTTAATTGGTATATTTCTTCATTTAAATGCAATATTTTTTTATTTGAATGGTATATTTTTTCATTTAAATGCAATATTTTTTATTCAAATGGTATAATTTTTCATTCAAATGGTATAATTTTTCATTCAAATGGTATAATTTTCATTCAAATGCAATAGTTTTTATTCAGTTGGTATAAAATGTCATTTGAATGCAATATTTTTTAATTGGTATAGTAGTCTCGTTGCACCAGAGTTGTCGTTCTTACTGCGAACAATAACGTCTGGTAGCAATTGTTGAGATATATGTTATATTCATGAGCCTCGACTACGATCTGTAGGTTTTTTTCCTAATACGCGATTGGATGGCATTTACATGTTGAATAATAAACTCCTCCCATACTTCAATAACAACAACATGGTCGAAGAGCACATGTATCGTGCTGTTTTATTTTAAAGACGAGAGTTTTATCTTTTATTTAGATGCATTTAGTAATGATTTTTTTTAAAAGGGAGATGAACAAAATATTTTCAATGAATGTGTAAAACTCCTGTTTTTAGATATAAAAGAATCTTAAACAAGGATTTAAAAAATATTTCCGTATATAAATCTTGGTTAAAAAATAATATATTTTGTTTTTTGGTATAAAAAAAAGCATTATAAATCTCGAATCCATTCTCCACCTTATCAAAAATTAAGATGAATGATCGAACTATTTATTAATAGCAAGTTTTGATTTCAGCTTATTGATTTGATTTCAGCTTATTGACACCCCTCTCGGATTTTTTTGTGGGAAAAAATGGGCTGATTATACCAGGGAAATGATAGAGCAGACTGCAGCGGGCCCCTCTTAGGCAGTCAGTGAAAATTTCTAGATACGCCATTGCCACTTCATGTAAAATTACGTACACGCTTTGTTTATTCTATCAACAAAATTGGGTTTTCGTGGGGTGGGGTGGTACACGAATCTTTTGTCAGTATCAATACAATAGCGAATATTGTGTTTTAATAGCTTGAAAACAACTGAACTGAGTGCTTTTACTTCCCCCTTTTCTATTTTTCTTTTTTTTTAGTTTGGGAAGTTGATTGATTTGTTGCTAGAAAAATAGTTTATTCATATTCTAGAAGACTGCAAGCTGTATACCAAGCAGCTATATATATTAACAGTTTGGTCACTATTGGTATCAAACATATATTAAATGTTTAACATTTGATTTATTTATTTTGTTTCTTTCAAATTTCTAGATTTGTATAATTTGAACGCTGAACCAAGGATTTGTATAGTTACTATACAAATCCTTGGTTAAACCTCATAGATTTAATCATACCTTTATTTAATTTTCAGTTCTGCTCTTATCCTGACACGGTAGAAATTGGACATAACTGCTCAAATTAAACATGCTTTTTTGTATATAATTAAGTGAAAATAATCCGACCGGGGAGGTGGGTTGCATTTGAAAATGCATATTTTTCACATTAACATATATATTATAAAGATTTAATATAACTCCTCAATATTGTAAATCTTTAATTTTATGAAGATTTTAATTTTTTTACTAAATACTAACATTGTCTCGCTGTTTTACACGGCTAATAGTTTCATGCCATGGTTAAGGCCCCTGTCTGTTTCTTTGGAAAGAACGAGGGGGCTTTACCATCGCAAGAAACATGCCTTTGTTGCTTCTTGTTGACGGCGTCACTGGTTTTGAAACGAAAAAAGCGCTGTCCATTTGTTTTTATATGTGTGTAGTTATTTTGCAAAAAAAAAAACATAGAGAAAAAGTTACTGAAATTTGTCAATGATGACCACGGAGACAGAGTAGGGAATTCATTAACAAGACACATTGGTGGTCTTTGGCTGTTTTATGCTCTATGGTCGGGTTGTTGTCTCTTTGACACATTCCCCATTTCCATTCTCAATTTTATCAAAATAAATCAGTATGACTGCTGTGGATAGTAAACTTGAAATTGATAGTTAATAGCAAATACAAGTTAATTGTAGTATATTCATGACACAGAAAAACGGGAAAATTTTGAAATTTTTAGGGAAAAAATTTACGGCTATTGGAAAAAGGGCGGGGGCTAAAAAATTGTCCTGTCCCCAATTACCTATGAAATGACGTGGGTTAAAGCAATTGTAGTCCACCATACGGCCTTCACTGAACAATCGGAGCAAAACCATTTCCGTATAGTCATCTAAACCAGGCCGGACATAACCAAATGTATAAAAATTCAAAAGGAAAGACCAACGGCATAATGAATGACAAAATAATAAACGAGAAAAAAATTACAGGCAGCAACCTTCTCCAACTACTGAATTACATGTTCCTAGCTTTCATTAGCTAATGGCGTACATAATCGTGCTGTGGATTGCAAGACACACATATAAGAGCTTATCTAAAAGTGCTGAAGCATCACAAAGTAAGAATAAAATGTAGAAATCAGTTGGAAATTGCTGAACTCGTTAAGATCGACACGATACATAAAAATTCTGCAAGTCATATCATCATTGATAGGTATAATTAAAAGATTAAATTAGTGAAAATTGTTACTGTAACAATTAAGAAAACCACACCAGTGTCATTTATCAGCCATTTTTATAGATGAAGATCAATGCATGGAAGTATGGGGCACTGAGACTGGTCAGAATGTTAATAAGTATATGGTGACACTCATAATACAGTTGCGGATCCAGAACCTCTTTTTTTGGACGATCAATGCATTTTAATGGGTACATATGGAACCCACCTTTTTAAAATGGTTGGATCCGCCCCTCTAATGTGTACCTATAGATGGTTGTTATATTTGATGCTGCACAGCCATACATTAGACTGTTAATGACCGTCTTTACACTTAATCCATTGGATGTTGGATGTGTGCTTATTGATAATCAAGTCTTAGATACAGATTTTTTTAACAAGTTGTTATTGGCTTTGAACTAGCTGTCAGTAACTGCCAGTAAATTTAGAAAATTTAAAACTTGACTGGATTTTGCAGTGCACTTTTTTCGTCCCTGCAGAAGATGATAAAATTAACAAACAGTTGAGTTTCACTTGATATGGTCCACTCATGTACACAGTTGAAATCACCAATTATTGTCAGGTATCTATTGTCCATCTATTGTCCATTTCAATCAATACAGTTCACTTTATTATTAGCTTTCGTGAAGTTCTCAAACCTCTTTCCCAACCTAGTTTATTTTGGCACCTTCTGGAGGAATGAAAAAAAAAATGCACTGCAAAATCCTGTTTAAGTTTTTATTTTTCTAAAACATAAAATATATTTGAATTTTATTTATCTAGGGCATGCTATGCCTTAAAACTTTCCCAGATACACAGGTTTGTCTGTCCTCAGAGTAAATTTTGAGGTGAAAATGCAGTCATTTTAGTCAAAGGGTCCACATGAACCTTAAATGCATGTTTTGTTTCAGTAAATTAAAACTTAATAGGATTTTGCTGTGCACTTTTTCTCGTTCCTGCAGAAGATGCCAAAATAAAAAAAAAAGTTTGGAAAAATGTTTGAGAAATTCCCCATAGGTAATAATTGAAGTGAGCTGTATTAATTGACATGGACAATATAGGGACAATTGATTTCTGACATCATTAGATTTAAATTGTGTGACTGGGGGACAAGGCGTATCAAGTGGTCCTCAAGTGTTTTATTATCTTCTGCAGGGACGAAAAAAAGTTCACAGCGAAATCCAGTTAAGTATTTGAGTTTCTGAAACATAAAATGCATTCGGACTTTATTTTTCTAGGTCATGGTATGCCTATTATAGCTTACTATACGATATGGGATTTGCCCATTGTCGAGGACTGTGCGCTTACCTATAGTTGCTAAAATCCACGTCATTTGGTTTCTAGTGGATAGTTTTCTCATTGGAAATCATACCATATTTCCTTATTTTCATTTTTGAACTACGTTGCGCTGATCGGGGACAAATAATATCCGAAGGAACCTATTCTATTCTATTCTATTCTATTCTACCATATAGTGACCGCCTTCAACAAATTGAAGATTATGTCACAGGAGGAAACTTACAACAAGACATAGATTGATATATTTACAATCTTTAAAAAATACGAAAAAATGAAAAAAATGCTTTGTATAATTAAGTATGATGTAATAGTTGAGTTAATATTGATGCTTTGAAATTGAAGATTTGAAAGAGTCTATTGAAGTGCAATTTACAATGTTATCCGGTAGTTTGTTCCAGTCGGTAATAGTTCTTGGAAAATAGGATTCTTTTCTGTACTGTATTTTGCAGGATGGAATTTGGAAGCTGTTCGAATTTGAATGTCTTGTTTGTCTTTTTTGTGGGATTAATTTATTATTTTTATGTATTGCAACCTTTTTGTGTTTAATTGATTTCATTCGACAATCAACCAGTACCGGTATATCGGAATTGATATGATTTAAATGATTTATTTTGCTTGTAAATACGAGTATGTGCATTATGTCTTTGCTATAAGTAGTTCCTATTGTGAAAGTAAAACGTTATCTAGTGTTACTTAACTATTAACAAAATCATATCACAAAATCAAGGTATTTCTTTTCATTTTTAGGAACTAAAAGTAAGTGTAGATTCAAGAAACACTTACTTTCATTGAATTAAGGATATTTGAAGATTTATTTGTTCAACTTCAAATACGGTAACACGACTTTCAATGATGAACAATAAATAATAAATGACTTTAAATAAATGAAGTGGATACAAGCATTTAGGAAGTATACTATCAGAATGTGATCAGCAAGTACAAACTTTTTAATTCACAACGAGAGAAGGTTTACTATGTCAAAACAAGGTTACCAATTCACTTTGAACTTCCCCAATTGCAGTTACTTAAACAATAATTTTCGATTAGTTTTGTAGGTGACTAATTACATATTTCATAAAGTGAAAAATTCAATCTTTCAAACCATGTCAGAGCCAACGATTAGTAGAACAATTATATCCACAAACACTTTAAAAGCATGAGACAACGGTTAAAATAAAAATTGTGTTTAATTTATTTGCTGCAATTTTGCATGGACATTTTTCATAAGGAAATCTAAAGGGCTAAAAATCGAGTCCAATGTCTGAACATATTCAGGACAAAAACATACACTTCATGCAAATATATACCAGACCGGCAAGTCGGTCCGAATTATTCGCGTACTCGTTCACTTGGTTACAGTCCACAGGACAAATGTCGCCTTACTGGACATATTCACATAACTGGTAAACTTTTCATTGCTAATATTCTGAAAATTACGTTCAAGCGAAAAAGCAACAAATACTAATTTCTAATTGCCTAGTACCAAACAAGAGACCACAATCATATCACTGAATAGTTCAGCTAAAACAGTAATTTTTAGAATAAGATAGACATCTTTTTTTCTCGTGATTTATCAAATTTTGTGTATCGTCATGTCATGCTGAAATCAGCGACTAACAAAATCACAAAACAAGTAAATATGGTTATCAGTAACATGACATTGAAATTGATAACATTTTATCATATATATAAGTATTGTGATTATCTATAACTGTAGACTGACAGAAGGTATGATGGGAACAAGACGGTCCCTGGTGGCAGCTAGCCTTCTTGGCTGTCTAGCAGTAGTGGCAGGGGTATTTTCAGAGTGTAATCCAGCTACAGGCAGTATCTACGATTTTACAGCGATGAACATTTTACAAACCAAGAACATCAGTCTGTCGCAATACAGAAACCAAGTTGTGGTCATCACAAACGTGGCGACCTACTGAGGTTTAACATCCTCCCATTATACTGGGTTTAATGCACTAAAGAGCAAGTTTGAGAACCAATCGTTTGAGATTTTGGCTTTTCCTTGCAATGATTTCGAACTTGTAAGTACCTTTTGTATATTTAACATGCTATACATTATTGAAAATTTACTAAGATATTTTAATAATTACACGAAAACTTCGACACGAAAAGTTGACCGTGACGTTGACGCTTGATGTTTTTGTTTAGCTTCTTCGTTACATGTCTTATCCATTCACATGTTAGTTTGACCCTGTAAATTCAAATGTTTCTTATAAAGCGGTTCTTGTTTAAAATGTGATGGCATGTGCTTTCATTTTGTACAAAAAAGCCTTCAATTTTTATATTTTCAGATTTTCCAAATAAAAAAACCTTTTTTATTAACATTTTGAATTCTGAAACCAAAACTTTAAACACAGAACGTTGGCAGAAATTGTACAGATGAAAGCAGTATTATTCCACTATTCCACTATATATTTAGGCGGAGCTTGTTATTTATATATAATCGTGGGTCGTTTGCATACGGCATCAATTGGTTGTTTTCATAAGAAATGAACGCATATGACCGAACCAAATTATTCATCCTTCAGCTAGTAAAAGTTCATTTTTATTCATGTAACGCAAACTGTAAAAGTCAGTTTGTACACAAAGGTAATACTTGAAATGGTTTCATGGTCTACCTTACAAACAAGCAAACTAACTTCATATGTAATTTGGAGTTTCTTACACCCAAATATGTTAAAAAATAAATGACAAAGCTTAATCTGTAATTCATTTCTGTTTTAGCAACAACCAGAAGATACAGGTACAGAAATATTGAACGGAATAAAATATGTTCGTCCCGGGAATGGATACGTTCCTAAGTTCCAGATGTTTTGGAAGGTTGACGTAAATGGAGCCAAAGAACACCCACTCTATACGTTCTTGAAGGTATCTACACTATATCAATTTGTGTCATAAAAAATTAAAAGGGCATACGACGTTGGTATGGCTTGTCTTATTGATAATTCACCTTTTATGCTAAACGTTGTCGAAAATTAAAAAATAAATTGCAACAACAACTTTAGCAAAGAACGAGAAGTAATGCGATTATAAATCAGGCGTTAAGCAAAGATTAGAGGAAACAAAAGAATTGGGACTTTTCAGGGAAATCATTCATAAGATCAAGATTGTACCATAACATGATGCAAATAAAATCATCATATATACCAACATTATTTTTACACCAGACGCGCCATACCACTGATGCAAAGAAAATATCACAGAAAGACAAAGTTTCTGACTTATGGGAGTTTTATTTTGTCTTGAGGAAAGGCAACCAAATCAGAATGATAACGGTAAAACTTCCAGGATGATAGCTTAACGTCTTGGTTCAGTAGATAAATAGCTACTGCTATTAAATTCATACAGAAAGCAGAACCTTTAAACAATTCATAATCGGAGGTAACGGAATGATGCTTCATAAAACGGAAATACTAATGGGAAAATTAAAGATATTTCTGTTCTCATAAGGCCCTGACTGTCGATTTCTAGGTGAAAATTATATAATGAAGTAAACATATCTGTATCTCTATCTTCTAAATAAACTCTTGTAGAAGGGGGTTGTGGAATAACCAAAGTATGCTTCATAAATATCAGACGAAGTGTTGGTGAGAAGTAAAATCACAAAAATACTGAACTCCAAGGAAAATTAAAAAAAGAAAGTCCCTAATCAAATGGCAAAATCAAAAGCTTAAACGAATGGATAACAACTGTCATGTTCCTGACTTGGTACAGGCATTTTGTATGTAGAAAATGGTGGATTGAACCTGATATAGAGTACATTTGGTTCCCAATAATATGTGAAAAATTGCCTTAGCCAAACGTGACTGTTAAAATACTGATGTAATAGTTAAAATGATAATTTTCACATAATCCTTTACAGAAATACTGCCCACCAGTCACAGATAAATTTGAGGATAGTTTGTTCTACTCACCACTGAAGAACGAAGATGTCCGATGGAACTATGAACAATTTATAATCGACAAGAATGGCAAACCTGTCTTGCGATATGACACTGGAACACTGCCAATGTCATATGCTGATGTCATACAAAAATACCTCAATATGTAACGTTATATTATTCCAGTGTTGTTAATTTGAATATTTCATATTTGTTTTGTTGTATTAAAATGTATGATTTGTGTTAATGTCTTGGGTGTGGAAGAAAGTGTGAAACAACTTCATGAAATCTACGAGTGAAGTTGTGGAAATGTACAACCCATATGTGAGAGTCAAGTGCATTGCTCTTCATGTGTTGGTGTATGATCTTCTGACACCTGTGATATTACAACAATGAAACATTTATAGTACAACGAATTTATGCAATATGATTAAATATTAACTTGTTGATGTTGGGTGTTGTCTCTGGAAAAACGGGTTCAATACATTTCTTAGACCACATCAGAATTATGTCAGCCTTTTAATCAACTGACACTACAAGTGCATGATTCCCTATTTTTTTTACAGTGATTGAACGATTGATACTGTTTCAAGTTTTGAGTTTATTTGAGTAAATTGTTTTTCCTATTCATGTCTTAAGCTTTTTGGATGTTAACTGGTTGTCACTGACATAGCATGTATTTTTTGGGGTCTTTTTCCAATAATAAGCCTTTCATGTCACTAGTATATCGGAACTGTTTTTTCTATAAAATAACTATGATAAAAATATATCTTTACTAACAGAACGTTGACTACAAAGAAAACAGTGAACTATGGTCTTTTCACATAACTGTTTTGCACAATTCGATAAATATTTCACCTCTAGCTCGAATCAAAGTCCCACTGCCTACGTCGCGACATACTAAAACCACTACTCCGAGAAAAGAAAAAAAATAATCGGAAATTGATTGATTATAACTTCAAGCAGCAAATAATACATGCTATTCATGACCAAAATAATTCAACGAGTTATAAATATACCTAGGATTAGACCGTTATGCCGAGTAGAATTAATAGCTTGTTATTTCACATGGTCCGCGTAAATACATTTTACATACATTTTATTCAGACATCAATCTGACATTGTTTTACTGGAAAATGCTATCAGCGAATAAAATTTAGAAGTTTCTGGTTGGACGGGCATTTGATCGCACCAACTAACTTCACCATATAACGCAATCACGATAGGAAGGTTGTACAGTTACCTATAGTTCAAACATCCACGTCATTCGGTTCTGGTGAAAAGTTGTCTCATGAGTCTTATATAGACGAAACGTGCGTCTGGCTTACACATTTAATTCTGGTATCTATGATAAAGCTTTTTGTGTGACGAAAGTCGGAGAATGCGAGACATAGGTTTTACAATCCGGCGGCGGCGGCGGCGACGGCGTAAACCATATATATGTTCAAAGCTTTATTTTTTGTATACAGATACCTTATGTTACGAAGTTTCCGTCTGTCATATGTCCATTGTTCTTGACCTCATTTTCATGGTTCAGTGACTGCTTGAATTTGTTGGTCAAGTGAAATACTCACTTAAGGATGTTCGCTACTCAGTTTTAATATAACAAGCTTTTTAAAAGACTTATTAATTGATAGTATATAAATAAAGAAATTAAAAAAGCAGAAAAAAATAAAGGGTCCGTGTGCTTATGGATAAAACCAGAGGATTCCGAAAATCTGGCAAAAATTCAAAAACAAGAGAAGCGAACATCTTAAATATGAAAAATAGGATAAATATATTTGGTATATGGGTTCCATGCAACGTCTACATGTCCGTCAGATAGGGTTCAACTGACCTGTAACTCATTTTATGGATCAGTGATCAAGGTTAAAGTTACGTGGTCAAGTACATATCTTAGAAACTTAAATCAATAGATCAACTATATATGTTGTATGGAATGATTGAAAGGTTTATATGTCCGTCTGGCAGGTGTCATATGACTTTGTCCTTATTTTTTTATGGTTCATTGGACAATGTTTTGTTTTGTGGTTAAACTTTGATCTATTTCTCAGATACTATAAGCAATAGGTCAGTTATATTTGATGGATAGAACCATTGTAAAGTGTACATTTTTGGTCAATGATAAGCTTTCTTAATTTTGTCAGTTCATCAAACACTATAAGCAATAGGTCAACTATATTTGATGTATGGAATGATTGTAAGGTGTACATGTATGTCTGGCAGTGTTCATTTGACCTTGACCTCATTTTCATTGTTCATTGATCAATGTTAAGATTGTGTTTTTTATTTGTTATTCATGTACTATTAGCGATAAGACCACTATATTTGGTGTATGAAATGATTGTAATGTGTACATGTCTGTCTGGGATGGTTCATCTGACCGTGACATCATTTTCATTTTCATAAAACATTGATAATGTTTAGCTTGTGTGAGATACTTGTAGAAAAACCTTCATATAACAGACTTTTAACATATATGCAATGATAAGTAAAACGGGCGAGACATTTCAATCTGTGCTCTCTTTAGTGTTTATCACATATAAAAAATAGGGAGATGAGGTATGATTGCCAATGACACAACTATCCACCAAAGTTCAAATAAAGTGGATGTAAGCAATTATTAGCAACCGTACGGCCTTCAACAATGAGAAAAAACCATACCGTATAGTCGGCTATAAAAGGCCCTGGCATGAAAAGTATGAAACAATTCAATTGAGAAAACTAACGGCCTAATTCATAACAAAACAATTAACGAAAATCAAATATGACAGACATGAACCAACGACCACCACTGAACTACTGGCTCCTGACTTGGGACAGTCACATAAAGAATGTTCTTATTTTCATTTCTTATTTTGAACTAGCTTTCAGTGAATGTGGGTATTCTCTTAGGTCGATATTTTGTGTCTTTGTCTATTTGTTAGTTGGTTGTTGTGTTTCGTTCCATTCTGAGGAGTCGAACCTCTTCCAACTAATTTTTCACTTATAGAAATTCTTATAATTTGCTACTGAGCGCTAAATAACTTATTTGACCCGCAACACTCTTCATGTGCCTGACCTAAAAAAAGTAGAACAAAAATACTAAACTCCAAGGCAATTTCAAAAAGAAAAGTCCATAAAAACTAACAAAATAAAACGCTATCAATCAACGAAAGAATTGAAAAAAACTGTCATATTTCTTACTTGGTACAGGTATTTTCCGAAGAAAATGGAGGTAAGGAACCAGTTATTCATTCGTTGTCGTTGGTTGCTGTTTGTCATATTTGTTTTTCGTTTATGATTTAGCATAAAGCAGGCCGTTTGGTTTCTCGTTTTAATTGCTCATATAATGACACTTGTTATGTCGGGGCGTTTGTAAGCTGGCTACACGGTGTCGGTTTTGCTCATGGTTTAATGTCATGTGTTGACCAATAGTTGCTCACATCCACGACTTTTGGACTCTGATAGATATTTGTGACATTAGAAGTCATACCACAACTTCTTTTTATTTATGGAAAATAAATATATTTGATTAATATTGTATGGCATATTGTTATTGTTATATAATATACATAGTACGATTTTGGTTAATTACCGTATTTATTGCACAAAAAGTGTATAACTTTGAGTACATTAAATATGTTAAGGAATTAGGCATGGCTATATATGATTTGTAATATTAATTGACGATGTCGACAATGGAACTAACTGTATTTTTCGTGAATTGGATGTCATGTGAGATTGTCATTAAAGTTTACAGACCCGAGAGCGGTTAATGTGTTATTGAAAAGTGTTCCCTACCAGAAAATTCTTTTGGTGATAGATGCAAAATCTTGTTCGATGTATACTTAAGGACTTGTAGTTTCAGAAAGTTTCACGTTGTGAAAAGAAGGAAACATTGAGCATAGAGGCCGTGGAGTATTTCTTCCTTTCCCAACATCAGGGAATAGATTGATTACTTAATAGATTATTGCTTGCTTAAGGTTCAGGGACAAATAGTTTAAGCATGTCAAATTCACGAAGAGAATACCTTTGAAAAGTGGAGGAAATGAAATGACTATAAAGCCATATAGTTTTGGAATATTTATCCTTACAAGATAAAACAACAGGTAAACAACCAAAAGAATACCGGACGGAAACCAGTTTCTACTTTCGAAACACTAGATGGGATTGCTAGGAAAGGGAGAGGAAAACAAGGACATGGTGTCCCTTAAACATTATTTGAAGGTACGTGCGACCTATTTTTCTGCATTAGATTTTGGTATTCCTAAACATTTCTAAGAAGTTGTTAAGTAATTTATCAAAATTGTTTCTTTAATAAGATACCACGTTATTCCTTTTTGAAGCCCCATCTTGCATTTGTTTGCTTCAAGTTGAGGGATCAATATTTTGATTTAGGGTAAGGGTTAGGAGTTTGACTATTCTTTGGGTAATGTATGGGTATAGTTAGTTAAAAGCACACATGTTTTGATAATTTTTTGTGTATGCATTTTGTTGAAATTGATTTGGAAATGTTATGGTAATTAATTTTACTTCTTGTTTTATTCTATCATTTTTTACGCGTACAAGGAAGCAACGCCAGACAGTGCATTTACAACTTTTTGAGATGGAACGTAATGCAATGGTCTAAGTTCCTCTCATTCTTTTCTTTTCCTAAAACATGCATATGCAACAAACGGCAGGACTGGATAGTGCAATAACTAAAACAACTATCCAGTTAATGAACTGCTATAAAAATAACAAAGCTAACCCATTCGAATATCAAAGGGAAAATTACCTTCCATGTTACAAGTCGATGTATAGACAATGTGGCCTGTCGTAATTATATGCACACAAGGTATAAATCATAATAAATAATTTTCGAACTATATATCAATTGCGTTTTGATTTTCTTTCCAAAGCTTACCGATCACTTTTCATTTGCAACTCCGAAGATTGTGTTGAGAAATATTACAATATGACTCATGATATGGACATTCTGTGTTCTGTGTTTCTCAAATTTTTGATCATCTTAGACCTTTGACTGACGTTCTGTGATAAATGTTTCATTCCACTGTATGCAAAAATGTAAAATCATAGATTAGGCGTTATTTTTTGTTTTGTTTTCAATGTATTATTTATTTCTAGCCTTCTTACCTGTTGGCCAGCAGCGTACCTGGTAAGAGTTATTTGATGAACACCTGTTTTGTGCGCGTGGAATTCATATCATTTGTTTCCTCTTTTATTTACGCTGCAAGTGCGTATTGGCTAATTGCTGTTCTGAGACGATTTTGTGACAGGATCGCAAAAATATGTTATAAAATCTGTAATATTTGAAAAATACAACAGTTTGTCCATGAGAGACATATATGATACATGTCTCTGTCTATAATAACGTTTCTTCATTAGGTGTAAATAAAGCTTTGTTACAAGTTCTGTTAAAAATAAATAGTAATTTTGCCTTGCTTAAAACTATTTACAAAAACAAT